CACACACACACACACACACACACACACACACACACACACACACACACACACACACACACACACACACACACACACACACACAGGGTAGGATAGTAAGGGTAGTAGCCTGTAGAGATGAAATCTGCTTTGCATAGTTAATCTTCAGGGCCCACGCACACTAAGCTAACCGCTGGCCGTTGGCAGCTGTCGGGCTATTGTTGAGAGTCTGGGGGAAGCCATCTCTTGTACCTTCAGTGGTACGTCAGGCATCGTTGGCTCTAGCTGGCCATTACACGCAGCCGTTTGGGCCGATTCGGCATCTTAAATTAGCTTGATGGACTTTGGACATTGACTACTGGCTCGTTATTTCCTCTAATGCATGAGCATGGCGGGCCATCAGCAGACTGACAGCTGTAGTCTGGCCATATGAAGGCCACCTGAAGCATTTGATGAATGGAAGGAATACAAAAATACTCAACCGTGGAGTACCTCACGGATCCTGGGAGAGATCCTGTAACCACTTAGGCACTAGTGCCAAAAATGTCAGAGTTATCTTTCATCTTAATCATACTTGATCATCATATCAACAAAGCCGGTTTGACTCATTTCGGTTTCAATTTAATTCACCTAAACTTTTACTGAATTAATGAAAGCATGGAGGACAAATGAAGCCCTCTCACCGCACTGCAATCAACTGCAGGGATTCTGTACAGTAACATACAGACACTAAATGAAACAACGCGACGAGAAAAGGAGAACTGAAAATACGAAAAGGTAACGGTGCAACAAAAACAAAGTAAAGGTAAAAAAAAGCTCCGGAGGATAAAGGGGACTAGATAGGAGACATGTGAGAGGAGAACAGAGCATAGAGGAGGGGAGAGTGCATCTGCTCTGTCCCGTCTTCTCACCGTGACAGGTCAATTATTTATGAGGTGAGGGGTGTGTGTGTGTGTGTGTGTGTGTGTGTGTGTGTGTGTGTGTGTGTGTGTGTGTGTGTGTGCACATTGGATTACTGTATCTCACCAAACCATAGCGACCCCACCGGTGCTTTCAAAGTAGAGAAGAGAGGAGAGAGAGAGAGAGAGAGAGAGAGAGAGAGAGAGAGAGAGACAGACATGAAGGGAGGGGGAGCAAGCTAACTGGAAGGCAATGATATGGGCTATTCTGGGCATGGGTTGAAAAAAAAAGTACATGTCTAGAGCTCAAACTAACATACACCAATGCACAGACACACACACACACAATTAAATTCTGGGGTATGGGCCAGCATGGTAGAAGCAGCTTAATAAGAGATTGTTAAGCCATCTCCCTGGCAAAATCCCACATGAGGCTTTTGAACACACACACACACACACGCACACACACGCACACACACGCACACACACACGCTGAGATCCTATCAACCGCACACTGCTCTCCCTGTGACAATGTAAGACCAAGAGCCACCGGGGAATAAGGGAGGAAGCCGACGACCACATGAAGGGTTGAAAAGGACTGATGCAACAGCTGATTGCCGGCCAAAGTACGTTCTGAACCAAGACCGAGCTCAACACTTCCCACCGGCATAACAGAACCCCCGCTGTTCAGCCCGACACCTCAACTCCCAGACTGCCAACATACAAGTACCGAACGTCGACCTGCAGACACAACAACTAAGATGGAGTTTGGACCGAAAATAGCAGTGCCTTGACAACAGGTACAGGGGAAAATATGAACCAGGAATTCAAGTTTGGCTAATACGTCGATGAATGTAAAGTAGGGATGTACCAATCCGACTTGTTCTTTCCAGGTACTGTCTCAGATGTCTCTAAAGATCGGCAGATGTCCTGAGTAAACACAACAGAGCACTTGTATGACATCATTGCTCTCCATCCTTAGAAATTGGAATTTTGTACACCTCACTGTACGGAGCTCATTGGGATTATTTGTGTTAGTGAACACACTGAATATTGACGAAGAAATTGTATTGACAATCTTGCCAGTATAGCAGTGCAGTGAAAGGGCTTCATTTGTCCTCTATGCTTTCATTTATTTAGTAAAGGTTTAGGTGAATTCAATTTAGGTTAGCATTAAAAAAAAAAAAA